ACCGGATTTGGTGCCTCTGGGATAACGCTCGCTCGCTCGCTCGCTCCCCCGCTTCCTTCCCTTGCCTTCCCTCGCGGCAGGACGTTGCTCGTGTGCTCGCTCGGGGAGGCCGATCCGGGGGCTCAACGATGGTGAAGTTTCTGGTGAGTTCTCGCTGCGCCCTGGCTGCGTCGGTGCTGCTCCGTCCCCGCATCGCATCACGGTGAGGAAAAAATGAGCGAAGAGACGGCGGCTTCTAACAACGAGTAAGCAGCGGTGCTCCGCGGCCTCCGCGCGCTGCCGCGGTCTCGCGTGTGTGCTGTCCGTGCGGCCCCGCCGTCCGCAGTGTGCCTGCGTGTGTGCACCCGGGGGACACGCGTGTGTGCACGCATCTGTGTGTGCTGCGCGTTGGCGCTTGCCTGTGTGGAAGCCCAGGAGCGCTCTCTTTGTGAGGGAGCTTGTTTTATTGGGGCCGAGAGCCGCCGTCCAGGTCCGCAGTGTGCCTGCGTGTGTGCACCCGGGGGACACGCGTGTGTGCACGCATCTGTGTGTGCTGCGCGTTGGCGCTTGCCTGTGTGGAAGCCCAGGAGCGCTCTCTTTGTGAGGGAGCTTGTTTTATTGGGGCCGAGAGCCGCCGTCCAGGGCAGCGTGGTTGAATTAAAACGTTGTACAAAACGGCGCAGGTAGTGCTGGTGTCTTGAATGGAGGGGGAGGGGGGAGGGGTGGATTTCGGAGAGCCGAAGAGATATCGGCACATACCACCTCTGGTAATATCCTTTGCTTGTAGATATTTCACATGGAAACTAGTGTGTGGGAGCTCCATCCTGCAGGAAACTGCTCCTGAATTTTAATTGGATGAGTCAGTCAGTGTAAATACAGCTTAAACCTACCCTAAAGCCTTTTTTTTTTTTTAATGAGCACTTGGGACTTCTTTTTTTAAAAGAGGAAGGGGACAGTTCAAGGATCTTTTAATATCTTTTAATGTGACTGGTTTGGAGGAAATCCAGAGGAGAAAGTGTATGCGTGCGGGTGTATCTCTGTGCGTTTAGTTTGTCTTAAAAATAAATTTCGGGTGGGAGGAGATGAATATTTTTCAGAAAACATCGGAATTCTTTATGGCATTGAGAAACAGAAATATAAAGTATTTTGAAACTTTTTTATTCTCAGAAAGTTTAAGTGCATGGAGGCGTTTAAGGCTGATTACTACAGTCTCTGAGCTTGGGCATAACGATTTGCGATGTAGGTATTTGCTGTAGCTTATTTTATGAATGATGTGACAGATCATAATGCCGAGACAGCTCTTGGTAACGGTAAAGGACCATTGCGTCCTTTGTCTTTCATTTTTTTAATAAACACTAGCTTGATAAAGGGCAGATAGATAGGATAAGAGAAGAAAAGCCTCCTTTACTTGGTTGGAAAAAACGGATTTTTCATTTTAACGCATTTCTCAAAATAAAACATTCACACCTTAATAAAAGCTTCCTAGCGAAGAGGTTTTGATCATCGAAGGCAAATGCTGGTAAATCCTTCTGGAGTAAAAGGGCGCTCGGAAGGCTCCGCCGCGGTCTGCGGGGCTGCGTGCACCGAGGGCTGTGTGGGAAGGTGAATTGCTGCAGTGTCAGTGGAGCTGGAAGCTGAAGCCGCCGCCATATTTTCTTTTTTGTGAATCGTTCTAATTTGCATACCACAATCTCCATTCATAAAAACAAAAAAAAAAATTACTGTCATCACCGCTGACCTGCAATAAAACCTGCCCTGCAAAGTGTGTAAAGCTCGTTTCTTGTATGTGAGAGTGGACCGTAGCAAGCAGATTGTGGATGAAGATTTTTGAGGACCTGCTGTATTAAAATATGCTGTTCACTGCTTGTTGACACAGTTATGTGGGAAATATCAGCTCGGGGAGGTGCTGGGAGCACGTGATCGGCTCCATTCATAAAATACCTGGCTGTCCATTCACAGTGCAGTACAGTGTCTGCATTGAGCAGAGTTGCAGATTAGACCTGCATAAGAAGGGAGAGACAGACAGACCAGGAGGTTTGTCTTAGCATGCAGTAGATAAGCAGCTCATAAGTGTGTGCACGGAGAAGTTACTGTAAAATTAGGGGGAAGTTATTTTTATGGTTTGTGTTCCTTTTTAATATAAAGGAGCATTAGGTCAGAAATACCTTTTCCTGCTACATTCTAACATTTAAGCACAGAAATGTTTTATTCAGCAAACGTTAGAAAATTTTCACTTCCAGAAATAGTGACTCAAAATAATGAAAAACAAAGTAGTATGAACATGACTTCAAGACAGTGGGCTAATCACTTTATGGGAATAGACATTGTATTGAACAATGCTAATCAGCATGTGCGTGCTATCAGCCTGGCACAGAAGTAATAACCACAAAATCTGTTTTCCATATTACCAAGTCAGTCATACCTAAGAATACTTCTGAAAACATTATGTCTTATAAAATACAGGTAATCTGTAAGACTGCTAAGTGGATGGAAATCAGGAATGCAATCGGTTTTTTTTGTCTGTTTTCTTTGAGAATTTTATGGCAGATTAGGTATCAACATTTTTCTGTTTAACCTGCACTGTGGCTGAAGAAATCTTTACAACAGAATAAGAGAAAAATATTTTAAGATGGCATAAGCTATTTAAAGGTCAATGCATTAGTTCTAGTTTTAAAAATTTTGAAATCATTGTTCAAAAAACATTGAATGAAACTTAGTGATGAAAGATCACTAAAGCAGACCGTATTATTGTTTGATCTAACTAATTTGCAGTTGCCAGTGTTAAAATGGTGATGTTCACTGCTCACAAACACACTATTTCATTATCTTAACAAATTATACTAATGTGATCCTTAATCCTGTGCTTTTTGGAATGGCAGTTTTGTCATTAATGTAAGCAAAGAGAATACCTGAAAGATTTCTAACCTTTACTTAAAATGACAAAGGAAAGTTCACACCACAATATTTAATGTGAGATAATTCTATGCTTTATATGCAACTAAATGTATTTAACCTTGCAAAGCACTATCAACATCAGTACTTTTTCCTATACGATTTTTTCTTTTTTCTTTTCCTTCAGTTGTTAGACTATTAAAAGTAGTTCTAACTGAAATATAAGAAAATATTTATCTTCTCAGTTTCCTTTGCTGTTTTGACGGCATTTTTGGCAAAGCTAGAATCGTCATTCCTGTTTGGTGGATTTTGCACGTAGCACAAGGGATTACAACTTTAAATGATGGGAAATATAATTAAGAACACAAAGGAACTGTTGGGGAAATTAGGTAGATCTATAAAATGAAATAAATTGTATTTAAAGTTCAGTGTGTATAACTTCATCAGTGTCTGATATCATAAATGGCCTTGAATTCATTAACAAATCTCTCATCATATAAGGGTGAATACGGGTACTTTGCAAGACATTTTGTGTCATTGTAGCAACCAGGAATATTCTGGTAATTGAGCATTACTCTTTGTTTGTAAAACTTCCTTTTACGGAGTAAGACACAAAGGTTTGTCCTGTTTCTAGTGTGACCTCGGTTAATAATGTTATATTTTTAATGTCTTTTTTTTATGTGTAATGTGTGGTGGGAAAGATCAATTAAAAAGCTGCATTAAGGCTCTGAGTAGGTTTCTCTTCAGCAATGAATGTTTGAAAGGCAGCCTTATAAAATTCTTATTGCCGTGAATGGATTTTCTTTGTTAATGGTTTTAGGTTGCTTTTGGAAAGGTTTCGCTGTATGGTTTCATCAGTTAGATATTAGTTAAATAAGAATATTTCTATACCTCTCCGGATACTTATTTTTGTCAGTTTAACATGGCTGATACAGAACAACCCCAAGTGGTGTTCGCAAATATTATTAAACAGAGGAATTAGGATGTGTCAGCCCGTGTGTCAATTTAGTGTGCTTGGAACTTAATATAATAATGTCAAAACCTACAGGTCAGCAAGCACTGTTTTTAAAAAAAAAAAAAAAAAATCCTGACTTGGTGGCAGATTTTATTGCTGTCTAGAAACACATCTGAATTTCAACATTAGGTAAAACAGAATAAATGTTATGTTATGTGGTCCCTTTATGACAGGGATGAATGACCACAGGATTAAGGTGGAGTCCAAGTTACTCCTGTTAAAGACTAAGATCAATACTTTATTGGCACATTTACTTATTCTTGCGGGTGAGTCCTTTTTCTTTTTTAGTGATTGCATGTACTCTCCAATAATATTTTGAATTGTTTTTATATACTGAATTTTTACAGATTAATTTTTTGCTACATAGGTATAGTTAATATTATACTCATTTTCCTAGATAATTAAATTTGAGATTAAAGAAGCATTGAGTGTATACTAATGTTAACCTCTAGATTATGATGTTACAAGCATTGACAAGTTCTGATGGTTTGAAACAATAAAGCTGAATTAAATTTTTAAAAATAAAATATATATATTCAATATGTGCATATGTTTGTCTTTAATATTCGTGAACATACTCTTTATACTTCAACTGTGTTTCAGAATTCCTTGTATTAATAATCAAAATACTGAAAGAGGAGCTTAAAGACCCAGGAAGAAGTAAAGCCGACTAGTTTGTTTTTAGTAGTTTGGGGGGACTGTAACACATTTCAGCAGACTAATTTTCTTTCTGCTATTTAGAATATACATGGACATCAAAATTCTTTAATGTAAGGAATTTGTATAAACAAGTGAGAATTTTTACATGCTTTCCTTTTTTTTTTTTTTTAAAAAAAAAGCTTCTAAAAAATTATATTAAATCATTGCAGTTCTGATACTTTTTCTTTTTGAGGGACTGTTAATTTTAGAGTCCTGGGGAGTCTTTTCCAGTTTTATGAACTGCCTCTTGTTCTGTTTTTGGCTTTGTGTCTCACAATAGTATTTTGAAGGTGATGCTGAATTTACATGTTATGTAATCTGGAAGTCAAGAATGTAAAAAAAAAAAAAAGAAAAAAATAAAGATTCACTTTAGCAACAATCCCTGATTACTATGATACTGCAGAAAAATGCTATCTCGATGTTTCAGCATACTGGATCCAGTGATAATATTTGAACAAAGAATGGAGGAGGGTTTTCAGCATCTGTTGGTTTAAAGTCTAATGTACTTGAACTGTTAGAAAGGTGGTGAGAACATCAATGTATGCTTCAAAAGTAAAGACTTTTCTCAAAAGGAATTAATCTTGACAGGATCAGAAATCACAGGATTAAAGCTGAGGGCTTTCCTGGTGTCTTTAGGATAAACACTGGTACTTTCTTTTT